CTAGGAATTAACCAGTAGCGTCAAACAGAAGAAGCCATAGAATGGTTTACTAATATAAAACGTAAGAATGATGACCATTCATCCAAATTCCATATTTATGTCATTTACTTGTTTATTACCGAGAATCTGCTAATGTCTGCGAGAATCTAACAAAAAAAATACTGTCCTATTAGTGGTCGCGAAATAACTATCATAAAGCAGGCACAAAAACTATATTATTCCATAATGATTATCTGTGGACCAAAAGTAACTCAGAATTTAATATTATTATGGGAGCATTTGATTGAGAAGATACATGCGAACTCTTTGGAATCTTGTTATTGTGGCGACTAACATTTATTTTCGACATTAAGTTCACCGGACTCTATAGAGAAAATTGTCTTCCGTAAAACAAGTCCAAGAAATATAGACCGAGAAAGGAAGTGATGTTTTTTTTATAAAGATCACAAACTAAATATTACCACTACTACCAATGCTAAAGTGATCAACATTGTTGATGTTACCTTAGACTTGAATAATGGTTATTACAAACCATAAACAAGAGACCTATATAAAGATAGATACGTCAGTAAAGAATCAAGCTACCACCACAAAATTCTAGATAATTTACATAAAAGTATTTTCTGTGTAAATTTCTGGAAAGGGAACTTATTTATTATTTTATTAATCTCAATAGGAATGTCCTTTTCATTTATTTTTTCAATATCACAACGTTTAGGACGGTGCGCCATCTGGTCTTCTTCAGGAGTTTAGGGGTGAATAAATAACATACTCCGTGATTTTATCAGCGCCATAAAAAAAAGCTCAGTTAATATCGACAAAAGTCTATCTGGTAAAAACACCTCCCTGCTATATTTTACATTTGGCATTCTGTGTTTTTTTCTTTCGTCACAAGTTAGTCGTTGGTGATGGAACTTCCATGAAATCGCTGAGTCTGAGGCAGCCATTGCCAAACAATTTCAAATGCTTATTATCATTGCAGACAGCTTTAGGAAGACCTGATTTCTGAGGAAGGCCGGAAGGCAATACGACCGAATCGTTGTGATAACAAATGATAAATGCATTAGTACGACTGAAAATAAAAATAAAATATTTATATATATCTAAACCTTGAAAAAGTAACTGAAAAAATGTGGAATATGAAAGTGATAGTTCTCATTATTACTGGCAACAGTTCCACTGAGACATGCCAAGAGACTGGAGGAATTGGAAATACGAGAAAGACAACAACATTATTGAAATCAGTTCAAATATTAGGGAGTGAACTTTCTTTGAATTTCTATTAAAAGCCATCCGTTAATGTGAAAACTTAATAAAAACAAATGACAATTTGTGTTATTGCTATAATCACACCAATATGTTGAATTTAAGTCATTCTAATATCGACACTATGAGTTAATAATGCACCTATTTATTTGCGACGAATTATCAATTTACTGCGATTAACAAATCCCGATACGCTTTCAGCTCTCTGTGGCAAATCTGGAGATCAAAACCCCTCTCACTTTGCAACAAGATCCGGATATTCAACACCAACGTCAAGTCGGTCGTACGGCTCAGAAAACTGGCGGGTAACTAAGACCAACCCCCACAAACTTCAGACATTTACCAATCGATGTCTCAGGAACATCTTCAGTATCAGGTGACCGGAAATTGTCTCCAACAACTAGCTGTGGGACAGGACCAGACAAGCCCCAATCGCGAATGACATCAAGAAACGGAAATGGGGATGGATAGGCCACACACTCCGCAAGACTGCTTCTAGTGTCAATTAGCAGGCCCTTGACTGGAATACACAATGGAAGCGAAAAGTGGGTCGATCAAAACAGACTTGGCGAAGAAGTGTTGGAACAGAGGTGAAGGCAACTGGCACAACTTAGGCCGACCCGAAGAGGATCGTCCGGAACTGCATCCGTTGGAGAGGTGTTGTTGCGGCCCAATTTTTCCCAAGGAATCAAGAGGCATAAAACAAATATTTATGCATGCTGTCTTGCATGCACGTCAGTTGTCTTGCGAGAGCTTAAGAAGTAAGCTTCGAATTGGAGACTTCAAAACCAAGTGACTAAAGATCTTTAAATATCTAGGAAGTCTTCTTCATAAAACGTGACACGGAAATCCTTAGGTGCAATGAAATAACGAAAAATGTATTCCAAAAGCTAAACAAAGTATTAAGAAACAAGAAAAAACAATCGTTAGAAACAAGAAAGCGGTGTTGAAATGCAATGTAATTTCAGTCTTCCTACATGGTAGTGAATGATATATAATTTCTTTACAGATGAAAAGGAGATTGCGACTACAGAATGATGCTGAGATTACCATGGACGGAACAGGTGAGCAACGAGAAAGTTTTAAGGAAAATGAGAATAAATAGGACACTAGTAAATATAATCGGAAAGGGGGAGTTCGAAATTTCTGAAACACATGAAGAAGAAAGGTAATTTGGTACTCAGAGGATAAAGTAAGAGAGGCAAATGGAAACAAAGAGTCAACAAGTTTGTATAAATGGTTTGCAGAACAGGAACTAGCTGGGATAGTAATACGACAAACTTTAAAGACAGAGATTTGTGGAGATCCCTGATCGTCCCCCGTCTTGAAGGGAAACAGAACACATTAAGTAGACGATTAAAAACTTTCTACGTCAATGATTTTTTCTTCAATATTAGCCATTGAAAGCTAATATTCTTCAGTGATAACAAAGAAAGTCCTCTTCCTGTATTTCTTTAAAACTTATTGAATATGATGGATTTACTATGTATAATGCATTGTAGTCGGTACAATTAAGAAGCATATTCACTACTTCAAGATCACTGGAAAATCGTGCATGAATCATAAAAAGTTGGAACGTCATATGTTCATATCAGCATCGTTCAATCATTATTTATGCTTAGAATTGAAACATCGTCTTAAATTACCTTCACCAAACAAACAAATTGACACAATATAATCTAACAAGAACAGCGTGGTCCGAGAGTCTTGTCACCGGCAACCAAAAAGTAACGAGAACAAGAGAAGAACAAGTAATACAGTAATACAAATCACATGTACTGGATTCAGTTTATTCAATTTCATTGAGGCGGGAAAAACATCGAGAAGGTCTATATGAACACCATTTTCGTGGCACAAAATGATACGGCGCCATATCCTGAGTGATATTTGTGCTTTGTTTCTTGTTTCAAAGGCTGTTCGAAAGGCGTCCTTCAACTGATGGATATTCTGGTATCATTCATGGGAAATTCTCTTCTTGATATTACCCCACAGAGCGTCAAAACAGAAAATTATATTATGTAGTGATGACAAGACTTTCGGACCACCTTTTTTTTTCAGTGTCAGCGCAACATGAAATCCCCAATAAACAGCTTTAAAGACTAATACCTTTAGAGAATCAAGGGCGACAACTCTAACATGAAAAAAGATGGAAAACGTGCCCACAATCTGGCGTAATGTAAAAAAGGTCGGTTTTCCCCATGACACCGTTCTTTTTAATTACACCTTGTGCAACATAATTGAAACAACTGTTTCAGTTTCCTTTTTTTTCCTTGTCTCGACTGTTAATTAGTTATCCCCCGGTCATTGTCGGCGATGGATATTACGCCAAGGAAGAGTACGAAAATTGTAACGCTTCACGAACACACTGACAAGCCTTACCAGTGAGCAAATCAATGTACTATAGACTGGCCCGGAATCTCTCCTGATTTAAATTCAGTCAAGAATCTATGGTCAGTCTGTAAGGGACAACTTCGTGGAATGGATATACGAAGTACTAACATCATAAAGATGACACAGTGCACAGTCACAGTCATGAAAAATACGAAAAAAAAAACCGGAATTATTCGTTTTATTTCAGTTCATTTACCCTTCGGTAAAGTTTATTGTTTTAAAAATCGATGATTAAAATTGGAATAAGACCGAAATATATGATGAAAGTGAATTTATACATTATTTGTTCTTGAGAATTTACAACAAAAATATTAAACACTATTTATTAGATTGTTTATTTGCAAGAATAATTTTATATTTACAGCATTCTAAAAACTAATACAATTAGAACAAATGCAATGTAATATTTGTCATTTACCAACTTATAAAGAAATGAATGTGAAAACAATTTTTATACACATTTACTAAATTATGAAAATATGTAAACCAACTGTAAGAAAATCCTTTTTATTTTCCATTTTACAACGTTTGAATTAATTGGCAAAGTAGTCGAAATTTTTTACAACCATTCCAATAAATAATATAATAAATAGTGTAAATAAACAATCTAATAAATAAATAATGTTTATTATTTTTGTTGTCACTTTTTAATTCATTTTCATATGCTTAGGTTTTATTACAATTCTAATCTTCGCTTTTTAATGCAATCAATGTTATCGAAGACTGAAAGAAGATGAAGTGTGTAAAACAACAGATCTGAAATTTTAGAAAGTCGATCGAACTAAGAAATTTACAGCAACTTCTCGAGAGGAGAATGAAAGAGAAAGATTAAGTGAAAATAACAGATTTTACAAGTGAATGAATGTACTTCCTCAAGAAGATAACTGTATATTTAATCTTCCAAGTAAGAAAAAGAAGAAAATTAAATACATTGTGATACTCAAGAATTACCAGAAGATTTATACACCAGATAACATACACGTACTGATAAATCATCAGTTACCTCCCCTTAAGATTTAGGAGGTATAAAAAGCAACCTGTAATATCCGACAGTAGAGGGATAGTCAGAGTAAAGTGCAATAAAGCTTTGGTAAAAGTTTATTCGCTGGTTCTACAATACAAAAAGACATAGCAGCTGAAACGTTGTGATTAAAACAAAATGAGGATATTAGTTGATGTTATTCGTTGAGTAAGGGTTGTTTATCACGCAAATCAATATAAAGAAAAATGAGACATAAATGAGAACTTGAATGAAGAATCACTACCTCAAAATTCAAGCAGATCCTATAAATAGAACCGAAATGAAAGGAAAAACAGTATATTCTCCGACTGGTTTTACTTACCTATAGTAGTGATGACTGTAACAGAATAGAGCAACGCCCCAGAATAAGACCATTTCACTTCCTCTTCCTCTTCCGACCCGTCCCATCCTGTGGCATCAGTAAAACGGACAATCTCTTCCTCAAATTCCTGTACCAGGTCAGCACTGGCGTTGCTTAGGTTTTGACCATCACGCAGTGCTTCCTCGGAGACTTTGACGATCTTGAGAGTGTATTTCTCTCGTATTTCACCAGCCTGTCGCCGAAGCTCCCGTTCGTATGGGGCTTCGATTCCTTTGAAGATCCAGCCGCCTAAAATACTGTAACCAACTACACAACCCGTCAGACCCACATGTGAGAATATGAACATGATAATCATTTTCAGACCCAATAAACAAAAGCATAAGTAACGATAAGCCCTTAACTTCGGGTCTTTTTGATAACGTCTCTTCGCCATTTTGAGAACCTCTGTTTTAGCCGAGTTGATTGAATTAATTATTTTCCTGTTTGTGATTTATAAATACAAATCAAAGAGTTCTCCATTTCAAATGAAGACTTGAATAAATGATTGCAAATAGGAGATATACGTTTTGTTTAAAAGCAAAACAGTCTTCAATTTCAGCCATTTGAATAGCATGAGTAGTGAAAGAAACGATGTCTTTATTTTTCTTTGATTTCAAAGCAGCTCAGTATAAAATAATCATTGTAATGTATTGTCACAGGATGATGGCCAATTCCGCAGTAATAAGTATTGTAGTAGTTGTTAAGAACATGAACTTCATTTCTTTTATTCGCGTACGAAAGCACTTGCTTATGGGAATCAAAAGTTCAATAAAGTCTTTCCTGCAAAATTAAAGAAAAAAACACTGCACAAGCTTTAAAAAAAATTTTGAATTTAAATTTATAGCTAAGTTAAAAAAAAAACACGTTAGCGAATTCCAAGAAATTTTAAAGAAAAATATCAACTGATGGTGTTGATATTCAAATGAATACAAGTTGTTTTACAAAGCACTTATTGGCCCAAAATTCGCACACTGAATCCACTTCAAGGATTACTTTGCTGAGATAATGTGAGTACATTAATATTTTTAGACATTATTTAGTTTTCATTTATGTTTATGTTTAAAAGATATGCGTGTAGATGTGCATGCATTGTGTATATGTGTGGTGATTATGCATATATATATATATATATATATATATATATATATATATGATTGGGAAAACAGTTGTTTTTAAATGTGAGTTCATAGAGCAACTATATATTTTTCATTACCAAGTGCCTATGGGTATGTGTTTGAAAGAAATGTCAATGGAATTGAAGAATATATTTGTATATTTGTCAAGATATATACTGGAATGTCTGTGCCGTGCAATGTTGTTTAAAAACGCCAAAGAGACAAATGTAATAAAACTTTCTAAAGAAGATAACTTCCAAACGGACAAATGAATAGAATGGCCATGGTCATGTAATCAGATTCTCGTAAAATCTCGCACATTGTACGAGATCAGAGATATCAATGTGTCACTCCGCTTCACGCGGCTCAATAGATTCTGCATTAGATTCCGAGGAATATTTTGTGTTAACCTTTTAGGCGTTTCTATAAAACAAATTAGTGTGCTGATCAATTATATTTGGATGGTTGCATCGCCCTGATTAACTTTGAAATAGCTCGACATCATTTGATTTTTATTTTATTTTAATTTTTTTATAATATCACGTCTATGCGCTTGCTCTTTTTATTTTTTTGATTTCGTTCTTACGAAGACCTTTAAGGTAGAATCTGAATAATTACTATCTTGGGAATGACGCCTATTTCAATTTTTATCTTAATCGAAGTCTGTATGTAGAGGGTTTGTTCAGAACTCTGGTGACAGATTGTGTAAAAGTGCGTGTGTGATCACCGATAAGTACTTTTCATCGAGTGAATTTTAACTTTTTCTATCTGTATTTGTTTTCACAATTCCCAATGAAAATGGGCGATTTGGTTTGGATTCATCAGAAAGTTTTTCAGTTTTCGCCTTCTTTCATTTATTTATTTTTTTTTCCTTTTTTATTCTTTCGTTGATCGCTGTATTTTTCAAACAATTCGCTAAATAAAGATTGTATATTTTGTTCTTGCACTTATTCACCACAAGAAACGAACGCGGTAAAGATAAGAAATATGTCTGATGTGAAATTCACGAAACAAGTCATAATGAAATTCTAAACTTCCTTTAAAAACAAACAAAAAAAAAAAAAGAAAAAGAAATTTACTTAACTTTGTGTTCGGTGCTGCTCGGTATTCACACTCAGGGGTCATTTGCACCTTCTAAACGAACAAATGAATAGAATGACCATGGTCATGTATTCAAATTCTCGCAAAATCTCGCACAATGTACGAGATCAGAGATATCAATGTGCCGCTCCGCTCCACGCTGCTCAGCGGACGTGAGCTTATCAGTCACTTTAATAGTGATGCCAGTAACACAGCGAGTGTTTTATTATACGCTATCAGAAGAAGATAGCCTTCAGTCTTTTTTATTGCGGCCAACGCTACATTAGAAGCGCAAAGATACTGAAAACAAAAGCAGGTAAAGATAGAGAAGACGGAAAAAAGAAAACAGATGGTGAAGGGAGATTAAAAAGGTAAACAAGAGGGAGAAAATAGAAAAAAAAGAAGCAAAGAGAAAGGAGGAATTAAAGAAGGAAAGAAGAAACGAGAAATACGCGATTAAATAAGAAAGAAAGGAAGAAAGAAAAGAAGCCACAGAGAAGTACCAAGCGAAAAAGAAGTAACGAAGAAAACATTTTCTGAAGACAGACAACGTAAAAAAAATGCTAAATTAGAAAAGTAGAACAAAAATATGTTAATGAAGCTTATATATCTATAATTCTCAAAATGTGTATGTGTATGCATGTGTGTGTGTGTATGTGTGATCGGATGTTGTTTATGCGTTTCAACAATTTTCATCCAATTTCGATGAAATTTTTTTTGTTTGATAGATAATTCTTCAGTGCCGGTTTTGAGTTCAAATTGACTGGAAAAATGAAACCTTCAAGGTGGAATGTCGAAAAAGTTTATATTTTTACACTTTGCGCAAAAAAGGTTCCTTCCTTGCAAGTCTGAGAACGCAAAATCGGCCCAAATACAGTACCATCCCCATTCAAATTGTTAACCCCTCCTTTGGGGATGTACCTCAGTTGCACGCAATTGTTGTTACTAACATATCTATCTATCTATCTATCTATCTATCTATCTATCTATCTATCTATATAAACAAAGGAGGGAAATGCGAGAAAGAATAGTTGAATGACAAAAAAAAAAAAAGAAAAGAAAAAAAAAGGAGAGATTAATATGTTTAAACCAGAGATAAAGCAGTAGAACAAAGAAGCTCCGAAAAAGTGAGACGGAAAGACAGAAAGGCGAAGCGACGCAAAATAGAATAAAGAGATAGAATAGCGATTGTTAATAATGCAGGTCAGCTTTTGCAACATTTCACAGATAGGCAACCACGGATTCTGTGGAGTTATCTACAATCTGCCTTTCCTTCCTCAGCATCCAACCATATATTTGCTCATGTGAGTCTGACGTATGTACCATTAGATAATTTTCGTTTACATCTTGTACTAAGAGATTTAACTTTTACCTAATCCTTACCAAAGTAATTGATACTAATGAGACGATGGGTCAGATAAATTTGGTGGAGGCGATGTACTCTAGAAAAAAAAAAGTGTAGCCACTTGTGTTTTTATAGGCCATGTCCCTTACTGACGAAATCGGTCATGGCTCTCCATAACGTCCAGTCCTTCGTAAATCTTATTAGTGTGTTTCTGTTTACTATCCCTCTCATATACATCTATTTACAAAAGCTCGTTAGTTAAATTAATCCTTATTTTATTCTGCCTCTCTTGGCCATCAAGTGTGTTCTATTCTCCAATCGTTCTTTGTTCATCATGTACCCTAGTAATATCACTTGTCACTAGCATTCTAAAGATAAAGGATAATTTGTTTTCATTTTATTAAAAAATAACTTTGCTTACGTGTACTGTCCATAGTATGCTCAGTATCATTCTGAAGAATATTATCTGTTCCTTCAAATCGTATCTTAATTTGTGACGAAATTGTTCAGCATTCACTGCCATATAGGAGAAATGAAAGCACAACTGAGTTTAGAGGAAAATAAGGAAAATACAGAGAATTTAAAGAAGAGAATTTAAACTGCATACAACTATTTTTTCAATTACATTTAAATTATTTCCTTTCTTTATCACATTAATTCCCACCGTAAAATCCGATATTAGTTATAAAATAAAAACCTGCAATTCATTATAAGTTTATGAGAAAAGAAGGGATGGAGAATTTGACACACTGAAGACAAGAATGGTAGAGGGAAATATCGAGTAAAATATATAACATAAATGGATGACTGAAAAGTATAGTAAAGGAACAAATATTGCATAGAGCTACAAAGAATATAAAGTTGTGGAGAGCCATGATTTATCCACGTCTTCAATGGACGTGGCATATTAAAGAGGATTATAATAAATCTGGTATTAATTATTAGTTTTAAATAACTGGTAATTAATGATAGATTTCTACCTATATGCCAGTCAGTTATGTGCACGTTTAGGCGATCATGTATCTTTTCGATACATGACTGACGAGACAGATTTTTTCCCGCAGTAGGCTGACATTTCTTTCTGCGGTAGATCAGTTGCCATCCAAGGCTATAGAACCCTGTCTGTCCTGCTATTTATTCATACCTTATCCAAGGGTATTAGCACATAAGTGAATGTAATGGATTGGATTGGAATTCGAACTCGGCTCTTCGATTCCTCAATCTGAGCCGTTATCCATTACTCCACCGTTCGGATTGACGAATCAGAGAGCCGAGTTCGAATTCCAGTCCAATCCATTTCATTTACTTACGTGCTAATAACCTTGTGAAAGGTATGAATCCTCTTCTTCTCCCACTCCAGTTATGGCTAAATAGCAGGACAGACTGGGTTCTATAGCCTTGGATGGCAACTGGTCTACCGCAGAAAGAAATGGCAACCTACCGCAGGAAAAAATCTGCCTCGTCAGTTATGTATCGAAAGATACATGATGGCCTAAGCGTGTATGACACATGGCACATAACTGACTGACCTATAACCCGTTAATACCCACCATCCCATCTTTGATAGGGTTGACATTAACGAGTTAAATAATAATATATCTTGTAATCCCGCATTATGAAAATACGTGATCAGTGATGATATTTCAGGTCTTTCATCTTAAGAAGAGACTGAATTTTTTGTGGGCGATATGACGACAAAATATGCGGACAAAGTAGGAAATATTTTCTTGTAAGTTTCGGGGTCGTCCCTACAGGGCTTCCACGAGG